GAAGGAATAAGGAAGGCAGGTAAGGAATGTAGATAAGTAGAGGGGAGACAAGGATATGAGAAGGACAAAGACAAGAGATGACATGCTGGATGACCTCATCATTAGATTATGCAAACTAGTCCTCTCACCCATCAGCCTGCAGTAGTCTGGGCTGTAGTAGAAGAGCAGCTCCTGGTCAGGGTGAATCTCTGTGGTTGCGCAGAAGAACAGTTTACCGTTGGCTGGGTAGGCCACCAGGTTCTGCTCTTCTTGGCTCCTAAAAAACACAAAAACTGTGTTTTATCTTTAATGGAAGGAGGCTTCCTACATTTTTTGTACAGAGGAATCAGCAATCTACCTCGCCTTGCGCACAAACATCATCCAGTTGCACTCGTTCTCATCTGTCGTCACAATGTAGAACTCCAGCACATTGTTGTGGTACATCTACGACAAAGAACGTGCATTTCCAGCCATTCGCTTTATAGAAAAGTATTAATGCACACAATTTTAAACAGCTGCAAAACATCACACCTTCCAAATCTGAGGTGCATCCTTTTCGGGCCAATTAGAGAGATCCACGTTGCTACAGTGCTGGCCAACCATCGGTCCGAAGCAGGTCCTTGGAGAAATGACGTCCCGTGCAAATACTCCTGTAAAAGTTTTACAGGAACGTTTAGATCTGCTCACAGCAATGGTGAAACCTTCAGTTAACGGCGAGAGAAATCAAAGCCTACCAAGTGGCTCATCAGTCACAGAGATACGAAGACAGAGAGGACGCGGCAGAGAGAGGCGAGCCCTGCTTTGGATGGGCGTGTCAGGGATAAAGGTGACCGGGCCGTGCTCCGGACAGTCTGAGGTATACGAGCGCTCACACAGCGTGCACCCTAAAAGCAAATGAAGCTAGGTTAGAGGGGGGCGGAGTAGTTACTGCACTGTACTTATGTATTCATACTATTTTAATATACTTCCACATTTTGAGAGATTAAAATAAAAACACATTCAGTGTATTTAGTTTTGATTAGTCATTGGAACTTATTAAGGTTTTCTTCATGTCAACAAAACCCTGATTTGTGAAATGTTTAATTTAAATTTGCTCCTCCTGTCAGAGATGCAGATTAAATTATACACAGCAGGATAAGACAGATGCTTTGAGAAATACTCCAGAACTCTGAATTCTTTTTCACTGTTATTAATTCATTTGTTTATACTCACAGATGGAGCAGGGAGCGGCCATGTTCTCCTTATTGGGAGCAGGATCCTCCAGTTGCAGGGTGGGGTTGACGAGGACCAGGTTGTTTTCTGCACCTAAGGACACCTCAGCAGTGATGGAGGATACATTCACTGCCTCCAGACCCATCCCGGTGTGTCCATGGAGAGACACAGGTTCAAGTTGGCTCTGGTTGGACATGGAGCCTGTGAGCACTACGCTCACCACGCCGGGGTTCATTTCTCCATTCCCGTGGAGCTGCTCCCCGAGCCCACCGCCTCCTCCTCCTCCCGTCCCGGAGGTTCCCACTCTGCCTCCCATGTGATCCGACTCCATCACCACAGGCAGTTCCAACACAGGAGGTCCATGAAGTGGCATCACCCCACCAGAGGAGTCCACCCCTGTCAGGGCTTCATGGGGCTGAGGCTGCCTTCCTCCACCGAGCTGCTGGGCGTCGGACACCGCCACCACCCCGACCCCATCCATGTTGGTAAGCTCCTCCCCCATCCGGTCAGGGGACAGGGGGCTGTTAACACGAGACTCCATTGCCAGCCCTGTTGAGTCCAGCTCATGAGGGCCAGCCTGGTGAAGGTCTCCCTGACCGCTGACCTGTCTTGTATCCATGGGCACCAGGCCTTGCTCCAGTGGGCCCCCAGTTCCACTGTAGGGGTCCAAACTAGAGGGATTGTTGCTGGAAACAGACAGGGAGCCATCCATGCTAAGGCTGCTGGGATGTATATACTGAGGAGGCGGACGGTCAGCCAGGTAGGACAAAATACCTTCAAAAAAAAGAAAGGAATACTTTAATCAGTGAGGTAAAACATATTATTTAGCATCTAGCTTTTATAATAAAAGCGCTGATGCATTGGAAATATTAGATAAAGTTCTAGAGTGTTTAAAGCCTTAGGGAAATAGAAATTTTCCAAATTTTGGGACAATATCGTCTGATAAAAAGTACATTTATATACATATTTAAACCAGAATGATTTGACATTTAAATATGATTTCCCTACGACTTCAAATCTGTTCATCCAAACAAATGGATAAGGCAATGGATCGATAAATTGTATAAATTGTGTTTGCAAATAATCTTAAATCTATCTAATCTAATAATCGAACGAGATTAGGCTTTAAATAAATAAAAAAAAAGATAAAGAAATGAAACCCAAACCTTTCCACAGTTCTTTATTTTTATTTAAAAAAAAAGTTTTTCAAAAGAAGAACTGACCTGGCAGTAGGTGTCGGAAGTAACTGCTCTCCAGGTGGGGATATGGAGGAGGAGGCAGGGAGTAATTCCTCTCAGGAAGGCCACACATCACCCCTCTATCACCCAGCGGACCCATGGGAAGCATCAGAGAGAGCGCAGAGGGGAGGGAGCCGAGGGAAGGACCCAGGCTGGGGATAGCCACAGGCATGCCTGATCAAAATAAACATGAATGAAAGGATGAGTCTGGAAATATGTAAACATTTGTTCCTTTTTTAAGATTTAATTGAAATGCAGGGCTGTCAACTCTCACCCATTGGGAGTGAGACTTACCCATCTCAGTGTCTTCACACACTCTCACTTCATATTCCCAATTTCTCAAACTAAAAAATGACATTGAAACTCAATTCCGTTCCACTTATTTATGTATAAAAATACCATGGTGATCAAAATCCAGTACGCGTTTTTAACACAACCTTAGTGCAAAAACACAAGGACTAGCCAGGTTTATTTTGGTCCATAGAATATGTTTAAAAACTGAATTTCCATCACACCTTTCAAACTGAAACATAAGGAGAAATGCTTTCTCCTCTCATGGTGAGTTTTTATAAAATCTACAGCCTCCTAGAAGGCCTGAATTGTTTAGCTGTTTTGTCAATTGTAAGAGAAAACCAAATGAGTCTTTTTATTCCTTAGCCTATTACCAAATATTCATAGACAGTGTAGTTTACATAGATTTCAATTGCACTGGTTACTGTATCAGTGTCAGTAATAGCTTATTAGTTCCCCATTGTTTAATATACCTAATTCTGTAATGCTGCGTTCACACCAAACGCAGCAGGAGCAGCAAAAATGTGTCTGCTGCTTCTTTTTTGCTGCTTGTACCTGTTTAGTTCTGATGCGCGGCTGAAGCATCTTTGTTGCTCTGGCTGCGCAGTGGAAAGGGGGGTCTGACGCGCTTTGGGCGGAGCTACTCTATCCTTTCTTTGCCTGGCAGCTATATTTGCTGTGATCGCTCAGACCCCCACATACCAGCGGTGCGCTGTCAGTAGGAATCCCATTCAACAGCAGCCTATGGCCCGGTCGCCTCCTCGCTGTTCGCCTCGGCGGCTGGAAGGCGGTTTTCATGAACGTAATCCAAACTGCAGGCACCAGGATAATAAAAGCGAACCTATTTTGTCTGCAGGTTTCACCATTTTAGGTTAATTTATGCGTATATAAACTGTTTCAGGGGAGTGATCATAATGCTCTGTATCATCAGAGAGGTGTCTGTCTCACGGCCAGCTCCCAGATCAGCTTCTCTGATTGGTTGATGCGGTGCGTCGAGCAGCAAAAGTTCAATTTTTCCATCTCGAGCAGCAGCGTATTTGAGGGTCAGATGCTCAGACGCGCTGCGCCTGCTGCTCAAAACGTGCTGTGGGACAATTTGCTGCTCCTTGACGCACATCAACCATTGACTGCATGTATACTAGCTGCGTCTGCTGCTCCTGCTGCATTTGGTGTGAACGCAGCTTTAGCCTATCTTTAACAATTCTTAGTTTAAAGTATATTTAAGATGAAAGTATTTTAGTAGAGCCCAATCTGCTTTACTTCAATTCTCTAAAAATCACCAGAATGTAGAAAATAATGTATATTGTGACAAAAATGTTCCCCATAACTACAGACCACTTATTGTTACTCAGTAACATTTACTGTTGCATAAAAATGAGACTTTGTTTCAGTTAAATCCTCTGAAAACCTCCAACCTACAGCTGCACCTATCCTCATCGAACCTTAACAGGTTATTTCAAAATCTCACCCCAAGGTTTGGTGAAAAGTTGGCAGCCCAGGAAATGTGAACACAATGAATAAAGACAAGGATTGTGGGGTAAATCCGATTAAATCCGGATTGTCTTTAGCAAGAAAAAAAGTTGCTGCATGAGTTTCCATACCTGGGGTGGGGATTGGATTGTGCGTGGGAGAACTGGGTAGACCCAGGTGGCTGGAGCTCACTGAGGGGACACTGAGCTGGTCCATACCCACTGGACTCAGGTTCATGTCATTCATCCTGAACAATCAACAGAAAATACATCAGAGCCAGAAAACCAGTCAATGAGCCAATTAGCATCAAATTAGCATATTTAGCAGACGACTGTAAGCGTTTAGCTTACCTGAATTCAAACACTGCTGTAGTTCTTTAATATTTCAACGCTACTTAATCCCCTGTGGGAATAAAGGGACATAACTTCAAAAGCATGAACAAGACAAGACAAGAGTATTTACCCGTTTGATAAAAATAACAAACGGTATCGATGTAGCTAGCTTGTTAGTAACAACAAAACAAACATTATCTTTCTTTGTTTATAAACCTATCATTGCTATTTAAAAGTCACGTCTCCACGGATAATACAAACGGAGCAGAGTTTCACAAAGCGGAAGGAAAACATTTTTACGTTCTTGCAGATATATTCCCAATTTGTCGAGAAAGATCAACATACCAAAACAAAAGCTCCCTGGAAGAAGCCATGACAGCGGATCGATGCTGCGCATGCGCATTCCCGGATTATACAGTTCGCTTTCCATTGTGAAGATGTTTCTATATCAATAAAGTTATTTTGTATCGGTTGACCAGCGGTGTGTATTTATTTATTTATATATTTAATCATTTTAGGTTTTTTGGTCTTTCTATGGAGGACCAATCCGGCCATATTTAAAAATAAATACATAAATTAATAAATGCTCAATAAATAAATAAGCATACAATTAATTGCCCCCCAAAATACAATAAACAAATAAATGCTGATAGAAATTAAATTATACAGTGAGATATAATTGTATATATCTCTTTTAATTAGCTTCTTTATATTTTATATTTATATAATATAATATAATTTAATATAATATAATATAATATAATATAATTGTATTGTATTGTATTGTATTGTATTGTATTGTATTATATAACATTACATTATAGCATATTATATTATTGCAATTTGCATGATGCTTTTGTTAATTTATTTCTCTAACAAAGCTCTGAATACCTTGACAGAACAGCTGGATTCATATTAAATATGAGATCACATATAGAGTGATTTTTGCTTATTAGGAGTTTTAAAATAAGACTTCTGATTTGTTCTAATGGTTTAATGAATATAATGAATATTTGATAAAAAATGGAAAATCTGTAAATATCACATCAGCAGGGTACAAAAAATAGCGATGTTGGTTAGAGATCAATAATATTTTGTTATTTCTTGATTCATGGGCGAAGAATGGTCATGAATAGTGGAGTGTGTTTTTCATCTTTCCATGACGACATACGCTTTTAGCATCAGTTATTTAACATGGTAGTTATTTAACGTAACTGTCTGTCAGACTGTGAAACAACAGTGTTAAGAAGAAAATAAATCAATTTATTTTTAAACTTTACAACGGGAACATTTTAAAATGGGAAATTCAAAATAACATGGGGAAGCAACCTCAAATAACAATTCAAACCTTTGTCAGTAAGTGTAAAATTCTCAGAGCCCTCTTACATAATTTTTTTCCAGTTTGGATGATGAAAGGAGTTTTTCTTTACCCTGGTAGCCTCAAACTCTTCAAACAGAGTCCCACTTATTGCAAAGTAATAGTTGTTTACTGTAGCTTCTGTTTGTTTTTTTCTTTCTTATAGGCTTACAGGCGGGGTGTATGATGTATTTTTTCTCTTATCTTTAATCAGTAACAGCAATATAAAAATGTGTTTCTTTAATTCATTAATTCAACAGAAGGGTAAATTTACAAATGCAGCTTTTTTTTTAAACTATTAGTTCAAATCCACTAATGGAGAATTAAAGTTATGTTTACTCACTGTTCTCACAACTCTGCTAAATTTCACGTAGGTTAATTTGAACCTCTACATAGTTTTTAAATTAAAACATTTGTAAATGCTAACAAGATGAATGTGTGTGTTACTCCTTGTCTTCTTATATAAGTGAATATGGGTGGTGTACAATCTTATAATTATTAAACCACATCTCTAAGAAATTTTGATGTGGAATTAAACGGTGTAAAATAAGATATTATTAGTAATCCAGAGCCTGTTTTGCATTGTTCAGTATTCAACCCCTTTAAATTTTGCGGTGTTAAAGTAACACTATAGGTGTGCATTTTGTCCCACTTGGAATTAATGTTAAATTAACTCTCTATGTAGTGCGTATCTTACTCCAGTTGTTGTTGTAAGAATTCTAAAAAGATCAATGTACTTTAATACTACATATTTAACACAGTGGAATTTCTATGTAAGACATATTTGTTCATCAGTTATCCCTCCTAGAAATTACATTTGATTCCTAATTTAAATTTTAACTCTTTCTAAATAAACTTGTAATGTGTTTTCATGAGGTCGTACTAAAAAGGACTCAAATTTGCTTATGTATAATTCCACAGTGTTAAATATGCAGTGTTAAAGTACTTTGACTCTTATAGAGTTATTTCAGCAAGTCGAGTAAGATATACACTAAGTAATAAGATACAAGTAATAAGATAATTAATAAGATATAAACTAAGTTAATTTAACACTAATCTAGAGTGGGACCAAATGCACTCAGATTGGTGTTGATTTTAACTTTTGCAGTGTTACTTTAAAGGAAAAGTCCGGTCATTAAGGAATAATCAATGGATCATTATTTATACCTAAAACTAATACGTTCATGTTGATTTAATGAACTATTTTTCGTCGCGATCACTGAGTCTTGGAGCGGCCTTTTTTGCCCAAATATAGTGACACCTCACTCCTCTTCCAGCAGTGATGTCACCGTGCTGTAGACCTAGCGCCATTCTCCTCTCTTTACAAGAAAAATCAATGTGAACTACTAGAAACATCTGCAATCAACAACAATTATTTAAGATTTCGAGAGGACTTCATTATTGAAATTTGCGAGAGCTATTGTTAAAGTGACAATGCCCACGTGCATGGCAGTTAATAAAAGTGAAAAAAAAAATAGTTATTTCACCTTTCCGATTCATGAGGATTTGCTACCGAACTTCTGGACAGAAAAAAAACATGTCATATGTTGCCAACATTTCGAAGACGAATGTTTTTTAAGATGACAAACACCAGATACAGCATTGGGACTTGCTTAACAGCCGATACGGCACCATGACATCACAAACCAGTTGGTGGCAGTAGTGTTTTTTGACAAACATGGATGTCTCCAGTAAAGCACATTCAAATAAAATTACTCTTCATTAAAAACACTTCTCATTAATTGAACAGTATGAAATAATTTCATATTTAAAGTACTTTCAGAAGTTTGATTTCTGAGTATGACTGAACTTTTCCTTTAACACTGCAACATACTGAGAAACCTTTACTATTAGTTCTGCATTAATCATCTGTGAAAAGATTTGTAAATTATCATCAGCAAAAATACTAATAATTGGCTACACATTAGTATTGCTGAAACCTAATTAATGTGAAAAACATAACTGAGAACCAAATACTGAACCCTTGAGGACCCCACAAATATTCAAACATGGAGAGCTGACAAACTGCTTCCTGTCATGATGCTGAAGTTTATTTACTAAAGTGTCAACTTAGATTTATGGTGCTGAATAGTTTATTTTTTGGTCATTTGAAGATAAAAAAAAATGTTAAACGGTGTGCTCTAAATCCATTCTACTTTAATTTGTACTTATCAATGATTTTATCCATTATCTACAAAATATGTTATAGGTTTACTTGTATTAACACTTTTTTAGGGGTTATAATTGAACATGTGTCTCATAAGAGAGTACTGATGAAAGATAAGGAGACCTATAATGTGTTTTCTTTTTTTTTTCTTTGCTGTGAGAGTTACTTCCCACTGAGCGGAAGGAAGAACAAGTTTTTTAGTTTGATCTTGATCTTCGCCTCAGATCAAACCCCTATGGGTTCAAAACCGCCCTGCAAGTCTGACAGACGCACGGTCCGAATGGAGCAGTAAGTAAGCCAGGTAGGGTGAGAATAGCTTTATTCTTAATGTTTGCGCAAACTTATATTGTTTTTAAATCCAAACGTTTTTATTTTTCAGCATCGTGTCTTATAATAAGGAGTTCATGGAGAATCTTCCATTCGTTCTCCGCGGCGTCTCCATGAGCAGCAGCTCTGCGCGCTGCAAGGATGCGCTCCGGCTGGGGCTGCCCTTCCACATGGAGCAGGGTTTCCACTGCAGGAGAGTCCCCTGCTTCTCCTTCCACGCTCCTTTAGACATGTACGAGTTCTCCTTTGAGCCTGCTTTCATCCAGAAGCGCAACGAGCGCGAGCGCCACCGGGTGCGCTGCGTCAACGAGGGTTACGCGCGTCTGCGGGAGCACCTGCCGCGGGAGTTTGAGGACAAAAGGCTCAGCAAGGTGGAAACGCTTCGAGCGGCCATTGACTATATCAAACATCTGCAAGGTTTGCTAGACGTGGACGTCTCTGGGGGGGAGATCTCGTTCGGACAGGAGAGGAACTGCGAGCGGAGGAGAGAAATCAGCAGTGATGGAGAGTCCAAAACCAGCAGCGGGGACAATGTTTACTGAAGACTTCCTATTCAAACATCTGCTTAAAACAAGAAAAGCAGAAAGAAAAATGCTTGCAATAATCTGTCGATGAACAAATATACCTTAATATTGAGCAACATAACTTTAAAAGTACTTATGAAACAGATTTGCCACCATATTTTTAACATTTAGGGTAGCTATATTTGTGTTTTTGTATTTGAACATTACTTTTTATTTAAACAAATTTATTTAAATTAAGGGTTTAAATTGTTAAAATAATTTCATTGCCGTGAAATTATGGTGCTAAATTTACATTTTTAGAAAGGGTTGCCTTATTGAGATGCATACTATGCATGTTCTCAACTGATGAATTAAAGAGGTGGCTTTTTATTTCATCATCAAAAAACACAACTGAAGATGCACACAATATTTACAAGTCTATGAAATCTGTTTTTTTTTTGTGTGTGTTTTTTTTTTTGGGCAGGGATATTTATAATTTGGGCTAATATTTTGCTGAGTCTACTGACAATAACTATTAAAATTGACCATATAAGGTTTTGGTACTCCTTGGTTGTTGTGGTTTTGACTAAAACATTAATGTTTGATTTTCCAAAAGCCTTGACATATAATACTTTAAATATCCCCAGTAGACTCAGAAATATAATATTCCAGTCTATAAATACCCCTGACAGATAAAAACCAATCTGATGCTATATATATATTATATTTACCAACAAGCTCCAATTCTAGATGTTTTTACTGGAAGATCATCCTAATTTTAAGCTCCCTTCATAGATTCTAGAACAGGTTCAAATGCTGCATTTAAACTTTATTTCTCTCATGACAAATTAAGACAAATCAGTTTTTTTCTAATTGCGCACCATTATGTGAATTTTACCAACAACAAAAAAAAAACAACACACACACAGTGTTAAATTTGACTTTTATCTAAATTTAGAGAAGGAAGAAGTTAACACAAAGCTGCTTCCTCTAAATATAAAAATTATGCTGATGTACAAATAAAAGATCTTTATACGGCAAAATAGATTTATTCTGGTTTAAATACTAAAAGGTTGATGACTGGAGTATTTAATTGTAAATGCATTGTAATAATGGGTATATTTGATGATAACAATCCATGCCTCAAGATTTTAATATTTCATTCATTTTATGGGCAACATAGTTCAGACGGTACAGACTTGTATTCAAATAGAGAAAGTTATTCAGAAAGTTTATTGTTGTTTGATGTTATAGCAAAAAAAAAAAAAAAAAAAAAAAAAAAATATATATATATATATATATATATATATATTTTTTTTTTTTTTTTTTTTTTTTGCAAGCTGAAGCTGATCGCTGTGGTTTGCAGTGAAAAGGTTTACATGCCACTTATCTTTTTTTAATATAAAAGAAAACAAACAAGATGGGAACACATACTGTACGCAATCAATGATCTCAATGACAAGCTGAATGATTTTTATTTAGAAATTTATATTTTATATTTTTTTCAAAACTGGAATGCATTTAACTGTGTTTTTTTTTAGCAGTTCATTATTTCTTTGTATTCAAACTTATTGACTAAAATCTGCTCAAATAAAATCTCTAATTGCAGCATTATTTTTGTTGATAAAACTGCTCACTCTTCTATTCAAAGGTATGGCTAAATGGAAAATTGTGTGTATTAAAAATATCTTTCTGTATTGTAGCCAATATTGGGTTTATATTAATGCATTTAGGCAATTATAGACATAAACAATCAAAAACCTTCGCTTTCCGTGCTAAAGGTAATCCTCCACAGACCATGATGCTGCCACCTCTGTATGCTCTGCTGTGTTCTGATTGAAACTGAACTCATATGTCTAATTTAAGTAAATGGTAAATCATACCTGGGTGTAGCTAAAGCAGTAGAAGAGGAAGCTCAGACATGCTACAACTTTGTTGCTTTGTGACAAAAGGATCTGGTTTCTTATGGAGCTTTCTTCTCCTGATAGATCTCGGAATGCATTTATCAAGAATCCCTCAGTCCCATCAGAGGAACCCATGTTAACCTGAAGAAAAACAGCTCTTTGTGATTCTCAGCCCACCTCTTTTTTTTTTTAAGGGTAAACATAGCTTTTAATTCAAGTTACACGGATTAAGAAAGACCAGCAGGGTGCAGTTCAGGTGAACCGTACTGTTATGGAACAACAGCATTAACAGGCTTGAAAGCGTGACGCTTCCTCAGCAAAGGTGTTTGGTACGAATTAGGCCCAATAATTAGCTGAGTGCTGGTAGCCCTGGGCTTGATGGTTCAGTGGCGCAGATGTAAAACATGAAGCTACTTAAAGGAAAGCCTCTATCGTAATGGATGTTTTCTTTCCGGATGTGCAAAAAGGTGATTCTAATCAGGTTCCTGCCCCGATTCCTTACAGGAGGCGTTTCTCTTTTATTGGCTTTTCAATCGCAATGTTTGAGTAGAAATATTTGGATTTAGTTCCACTTTATGTCTTCAAGTTTGAACAAAAAAGTGTAAGCAAAGTTCTTTATTTCCTCTAAATTTCACAAGCAGGGTGAAGCTCTGATAATCTGAGAACATATTCTATAGAGAGGCAGGGACAGAGGGCCACCATGGGCCCTGGTGCAAACAAACACTCAGGGACAGAGTATGAAGATGAGAATTTGAAAAAAAGGACTTGGATAAACATTACAGAGAGACAGAAAAAAAAGACAATATCCAGCCTGTTCATGGAACTGTCAAAAGGGGAAAACAGACAAATCAGACATCACCATCTGTCTAAAGGTAGCTTTCCTGTGTGCACAAGGCTACAGTTATGCTGTGCACGACAGATATTTCCTGCAAACGGTAAAGATGACTGCATGTGATAAGGTTTATCAGTGTGAGTAAGATCAGTGGGGGACCACCAGGAGAGGTTCCTGCAGCGTGCTCTGACAGGGAGCCCTTATGCGAGAACGGAAACAGGAACCGGGACGCACAATGATGCAGGATTGTCTTTTTCACGCATCAGAAAAACACTGATACAACTCAATTGAAAAAAAAGAAAAAAGTATCTAACTTTGGCTATATTTTGTACTTAAAAAAAGGAAAATGTAAAAATGACAATGTCATCTGCAAAGAAGGTAATTTGATGGTCACAGAATTAAACATGTAAAAAAGTATATAGTTGTAGTAAAATCACCAACATCTTCCAAGCACAGGTTAATATATTTTGGCGCAAGAAATACCAAGGGTGATGCAGATTACACATTTTTAAAGCTCTACACAGACGGAGCCAACTTAGACCTTTTGTTAAAAACTACAACTACTATTCCAAAGCCTCCTGAAGCAGTAACTTAAAATTATGATTTACTAAGTGACTTTGTCAGTCCTGCAAATTGCCAAAGAAAAAGTGTCACTCGCAAAATTGTTTCATTGGGTTTAAGTCAAGTTCCAGATGGCCTCAGATTTGGCTCCTGTATGGTTTGATTCATTTAGATGTAAGTAAATGCAAGGTGATCAGGTTCTGAGGCCTGAATTGTCACACTTTTACAGTTTTTCTTGACGATTGCAAACCAAATTCACGCTGCCATGGTTGTTTTAGAGAACAGAGAAGATTAACTAGCTACATTTACTATATATTAAGTTATTTTGAGTAAATGATTGTGTAAGTGTTTTGCAGATAAAGAAGTAATTTAAAGAGTAGTTTTTGTGCATATTTTTTTCTTAACTTTCCTTAAATAAAATCATTATGAAGTACTATTGCTCTCACTTGAGTAAAAGGTCTGGCTCCTCTACAAATCATCAGTAACTTCACCCAATAACGAACAAGCTTGTTTTGAACAAAATGCAACATTGAGACACATACCTACAGCTTATTTGAGACTTCTCTTTCCTACTATAGCTTCGTGCTTTTAATTTTATTTTCAGTTTGCAGAATCTGCCATGTAATTTCAGTGGTGTCAAAAGTACACACATTTGTTAAGTAGAAGTATAGATACTGCAGTTTAAAAACACTCTGGTAAAAGTTGAAGTACCATCTTGACCTCTTTACTCAAGTAAAAGTGAAAAAGTATGTGCTCCAAAAACTACTTAAAGTAACCTTAAAAAAAACCCTAGTCAGATGCCACTATATGATTTAATAGCTCAATTTTTCGTATATTTGGAAAAAAATTTTGAGATAGGGCCAAGGATGAGGGAGGTCTTGTTGGTCTCCATCTCTCGATACGCTCTCACCTGCGTCCGACCTTTCAGACATTTCAGCATCTTTTTCTGAATCCGACATTGTAGCATGGCATAGACAATTCATGTTTGCAGTTTGAAGAACACCTGCTTGCTTCTGATGATTTCCAATGAGTGTTTGCGTTATATGACTCATCCAATTACACTAGTTTCTACTAGATGTGGATTGGCGCCAATGATCTGCATTGGACGGCGCACATGACGTGAAATAAATATCTATAAACATAAAACTGAAGCCAAGAGTAACGAGTAACGTTTGTTGTAAAAATGTAAGGAATAGAAAGTACAGATACTTCTGTGAAAATGTAATGAGTAGAAGTCAGAAGTAAGAAGAAAAATAAGTAATGGAGTAAAGTATAGATACCTAAAAAGTGTACTTAAGTACAGTAATGAAGTATTTGTACTTCATTACTTGACACCTCTGTGTAATTTGGACCAGCAATCTGTTTAAAGTATCATGTTACAGGAAGTCACCCTATTCCAACCTAAATATAACATACTGTCGGTAAAGACTTTTTTCACTCGTTTTTTTTTACTCTTACTTAAGTTTTTTCTTGAATGGCTAGCTTTTACTGTACTTGAGTAAAAATATGTTAAATTAACTAAACTCTTGCACAAGTACAGTTTTTGAGTACTCTACCCACCTCTGTTAGGCAATACTTTTTTATTCCTTTTATTCATTTTAAGATTTATTATGCTAAGAAATATGCAGTCTGAGGTTTTGGTGATTTTGCTATGATCTGCATGGTCTTCACAGAGTAAGAGGGAAACATACATGAACTGGGGCAACAGTAGAATCAAGCAGAGAAAGGAAGATACTTAGAGACTTGAATACTGTGGTAGTATCATGAAGCCAGGTGAGCAGAATCACACAGGGAATACCAGCTGAGTGGGAGGAAAGGCTAAGTAACAGAGAATTAAAGTAATCGAATTACAGAGACACAGAATAACTAGAACAATTAAAATGTATTAATTAAAATACAGAAATATCTCCCAAAAAGGAAAGGAAACCATGACAGTCGGACCTTGGGGTGAATATAAGGGTGAGAAATCTACTTGATCATAATAAATACAAATAATTTAAAAGACCACAGGGTAAAATAAGGAAACATTAATAGTAATTTATTAATTTAAACATAAATATATAACCAATGTGGGAAGTGACAGTGTGCAGATCAGCAGGCTTGGAGATCCTCCAGCTCTTCAAGGAGAACCTGTTTTTCCAGCTCCAACAAAGAGATCCGACGATTCTTTTCACTCACCTTCTGCAAGAGGATTGATTTGAATTGTGGGAAGGATTTAAGGACTGAGATTGAATCTTAATTAGCTGTATCTTTACCTGAGTTAGTACTGTGTTTTGCCAGCGGAGGTCACTGTCTGCCAGCGGATTAGAGAGACAAGGATTGCTGCTGACATTGGGTTCACTCATTACAGAGCCCAGGGCTCCATTAACCCGCTGGATGTGTGTGGGGAGGCAGGATGGAGCCTAAACAACAACAACAACAAAAAACACCATTGTTAATGTGCTCTGAAACACTGAGAGAGCATTATAATACAATAAATGTTGCAGGCATTAAACTATTAGTGGTAGCTTTGGGGAAGATTGACTAACTTTGCAGACTAAAGGCTTTAAAACAACCCCAAAAATAAAATAGTCTGCAACTTTTTCTTCTGAACCAATGCAATTTGTGCTAAAACCTTCACCAAAAACAAAAACATACTTTAAAAGCTGGCATTTACAGCATGGTTTATTAGTAGTTAGAATCCACACATCCCGGTTTACCTCTGAGGCATGTTTGTGGCAAAGGCGCATCCTGTTTCTGCTCTCAACACACTGCAGGGCCCTGTTTTCTGAGAGCCGCTGGAGGTACCACAACCGACCGTGCTCCAGAACCTCCAGACCTGACCACAGAGCATCCTTCTCCTTCTCTAGGTCCTTCATCCGCTTAATCTACAAAGAAAACAAAATCCTAATGTAATCACTCTTCCTTTAGACAACAGGTTTACTACTATACGAGGGGCATTCAATAAGTAATGCCCCGACACACTTCTAGATGTTTGATCCAGCTGAAATGTTGCATGTGAGGTTATTTAAATCTCTATAGATTAAGTAGCAAATTACAGCTCTGAACTAGTTGTGGTTTCTGACTTACAGGTGTTTGAACTGAGGAAAGTCTGAAATAGAACCTGTTGAGTGTCAAGCAGTGATCAAGTTTTTCTATTTGAAAGGACTCACACCACAGGAGACTTTTGGTGAAATTAAAATAACTTATAGTGATGATGACCTTGCAAAATATTTTACAAGGTTATATTATGGGACATTATCGCTATAAGTTACTTTCATTTGATCAAAAGTCTCCCATTCTGTGCGTCCTTTCAAATGCAAAAACACAGATTTGACTCAGTTTGAACACCTGTAAATCAGAAACTACTATTAGTTAAGAGCTGTAATTTGCTATTTAACCTATAGAGGTTTAATTAAATACACATGCAAAATTTCAGGTCGATCAAACATTTGGAAGTCGGTAAGGAGAATTACTTATTGAACAGCACAGCTCTTCTTGTTTCCAATTGACCTGTCATATTTGTTTGGGGCAAAACATCAGGGTTAACAACAAAAAAAAAGATGATGACTTAGTAGAAAACAAGGAAAAGACGAGGAAATCACAAGTAACGATGGAAGCACATCTGATTATTTAAAGTGGGTTTTTGCAAAACTGTACAGAGCTCTAAACAAGGAAGTTTACATGTGGAGATTAATCACTTGGACAAATTTAGCCAAGATGGAAACGATGACAGCAGGAAAATGAAATGAGCCTGATGAATCATCCACATCTGCCACATTTACAGGACTTATCATAAAATGTGTGTTAGAACAGGACTCAAATCTAAAGGTGCAAATTTAAAGCACATAAAGTCCTGGAACAGGAATACAATATTTGACCTTATGTATCAGTTGTGTGTGACACACCTGCGTTATTGTGTAGAATTAAAGATGCATAAAAACAAACTTTTTTTTAAATACATTGATACTGCATGTCACACTCTGATCAGCTGTAAGTAAAATTGCCCTGATCATGAAGTTAGCTTTAGCTAAACGCGCCTTTTGTTCCTCAAAGATCCCCCCGTAAAAATCATTGACTATGCCATAATGAATTACATGCAGGCCATTGAAGTGCAGTTTATTATTAGGATTTGTTCCATCTGTTTTTCAATGAATAAAAACATTTCATCCCAGTGCTGCGTCTCCTGAGCCTGTAACACCCCTCACACCCCCACCATGGACTGTTCACCCTGCTGCCCTTTGGGAAGAGGCTTTGCAGCATCAGCTGCAGGGCCAACAGGTTCTGCAACAGTTTTTCCCTCGCTGCCATCAGACTGTTCAACTGTTAAAAATCTAATCAATACTCTGCATCACACTTGAATACATCATATTTGCACCACCAACGTGGCTGATTTTTTTCAGAATCCTTTCAAATAGAACAACTCAGTGTTCTACTGTATTTTGCACCATATTTATTTACTCTGTACTGCACTGAGCGTCTCCATAAAACTCCTTTAAATTGTTTTTTATTTTCTCCTACACTGTTTACATTCTGATTTATAAATGGTAATGTTCATTTTACTGTTTTAAGCTGCTCATTCACTGTTAAAAAGCTGTATGCATCGACATTTTTGTTTTGTATAAACTCTGTGTATACAAGATCACATTACAGTTTATGTAATTCTAAGTCTAAATAATTTTTTTTGTCTTTGCTCATCTGCAGAATGGATCCAGTTTATCCAGCAGGGCTTATTTTCTAATTGTTTGCAGTTTGGTGATCAGAGGACCAGAAACCTTCTGAGGTCCCCTAGTATCAAACGGATAAATAACATCCATCTATCTGCATGAAATCCGGCTATCATGTGATTCAAGAGTGCTGGAGAAAACATAATGCAGGACATTAAACTCTTGAGGACTGGATTCTGAGTTAAGTGCTCTAAGCACACACACTCTGTGTCATTATTAATAGGAAACACTTTCAGTAAGAGGGATGGGTCGGGTCAGCCAAGATGGATCCAACATGATGATGCGTTTATGGACAGCATCCAATCAATGTGGCATGTCAAGGACAGTTCACTGTCGATCCCAGTGCAGTGAGTTTTACTCCAATAGATCAACACTTTATGCTGTTTATAGTGTGTAGTTCAATAAAAATGAAAATCATAAAAAAAGAAAAATCATTGTCTTGTTGGTGTTTATGAGTCTCATTGAATATGTACTTATCACTTTGGCGCCCAGCCGCTCATTTCTTATCTGAATGCGGATCATAACTGATAATGTGCACATTGTTTTTTAGGCCTTATTCACACCTATAAATGTGACCTTCCAGGAAATATTTTCCACCAGTTTGTCCAGAAGCTAAAAATGCTCTCCCTATAAATCTGACATCCTCTGAGGCAGGGGTCAGGTTTTGATGAATGAAAAACTTTAAAGTACAATTTTTGCAGTGAATTTATTCAAGCTACAGTATGTATGTATCCTTTTTTTAAGCAAGAAATATTAAAATCCCCCAAAATATTTTGAAACCCTCAATGCTACTGCAGTTGCTAAAGTCCATCCCTGTTTGGAATGAGTCCAATATTTCATCCATCAGGTTTTTCAAACCAGTTTACAGCCAGAAAAGCCAGCTTTACCTTCCTAAAGTCATTGGGTGAGTCTAAGCTTGTGTTCTGCTCTGTAACAAGTTCAACTTGTACCCTTCTGAAGCCAAACGCCTACATGCTGCCGGACGTAGGCAGACAATAAAAAATTGAAGCTAAAATACAGTAAGCCTTCCTGGCAAGGAGGCACAAATCAGCTTTGAACTTGACATTAAATTGCCAAAAGTGGTTAATCATCAAACCCTCGAAAACAGTGGAGAACAAATGTGGTTGCAGGAATAATATTGGCTTTTTAAACCAAACCATAATGAATAGAAATTGTGTTTTGTACTTTATGAACAGGCGAACTGCTGCTAGTAAAACAAGCATTGAGAATCACTTTGCTGTAAACATTTAACACTAAAGTAAAATGGATTCATAACAAGGTGCCCATTTTAATGTAGGGTTTCCCTAATTTTTACCAGAGACATTTTACATATAGAGTAAAATAGAATTATTCTTTTTACCAAATAATGACATTTGCTTATTTAATTTCATAATTTTAAAGATATATTTAATAATTTAATTGAATTAATGTATACATTTCTTAATACAATGATACATTTGATTATTTAATAAAGCATTAGAAAAACAAATTTAACATGTAATTATTTATTATTAATTATTATGGAGACATTCAATGGTACTTTTATCTATTTTATGGGAAATTTCCTTTTTTTTATTTAATAAAATATTTATTTATTGTATTCACATTCAACTGTGGGTCTTAACAAACAATCAAGGTCACATCTCCATAAATTCTGAGCAACACTTTGGGAAACCTTTTAATGAATGTTTTTATGCAAACGGCTAGACAAACAGCTAGTTAATTTCTGCAGCTATCGCCCTGTTGAAATGCATGGCAGCTGTATTACTTTATATAACTATATAAGGTAATAAGGTAAGAAACGTAAATGAGATTTAAAACAGAGCTTATCATTTATTTTTTCTAAAGAAACCATTTTGAAGTTTTTCCCACAGATCTTAAGAGAAATTTCAAGCATAATGACATTTGACTGGAAAGAAACACAGAAAGCTATTAAGTTTTTCACCCCATCTTGCCCAAATTTTATTATTTAGATCATGAGCACTGACTTTAACGAAACAAATGACTTCTTGGATGATTCATTGTTTCTCTTCCCGAGTCATTTTAGTAGCTCTCCCCCCTGCTTAACCGAGTCCTGCAGCCTTAGAGGTGGCTCTATTATTTATGTCTCTAATCTTTTCTTGAATTTTGCCCAATTAGAGTATGAAGTGTTGCTTTTTGATATCTCTACCTAAAACATGTTGTCAGACAGATGATCCTTGATTCTGCAATTCAAGCAGTAATTAAAAGCTTTCTATTAGGGAGCTCGGGGAAGTTATCTAGATTCTAGAACAACCATTAGCATCATCTTTATCAGACACTAAAACGATAACTGACCATTTCAGTCAGAGACTTCTCCAGATCTGCTGTGAGACTGACTGCTACAGGAAATCATTTCTGCCTACAGTCAGCATTTTAGCAACTCTCGAAAATAAAACCCTTATAATATTAGTTAGAGAATATTCAATCTCCATTTGGGATCAGTAAATTCTTTTTGAAATGAGTTAAAAGTCTGCAAGGGCAGTGAAAAAAATTGTTTCAGAATTTAACAACCAGGCAATTTTAGTTAGGAGTAAACCTTTGCATAATCAGTATCCTATAGAAGTTTAAGGGGAACTGAGTTGTAGCCGTATGTGACACCTGCTTTTACAGTTAGATAACCTGTGCTAAATTCCAAGCTTCGAGAAAAGGTCAAGCAAATGCATAGCAGCCAAATGCATCAACCTTGTGACACTTTTATGGACTCTAGAGGAAGGAAATTGTGATCTAGTTATGTCTGACCATAAAACATACACCAAGACAACATACAGAAGCGAGACCTCACCCATAGGTAGAAACGAAGGGCCTCCTGGCTGTAGAGGCTGGTCTTTAGAGGGAGGAGGACCACAGTGTAGGAGCCTGAGGAGGAGAGACGGCAGGCCATGGAGAGGAGGTCACCAGCTGAGGGGCTACCCCATGCAGGTAGCTTACACCGCAGATAAAGAAGCACAGCTCTACACTAGCTTGTTTCAGAGAAATAATGAGTGTTTGTTTGTTTGAGATAGAGAGAGAGAGAGAGAGAAAGAGAGGAGGGGTAGGAGTGGAAAAAGAAAAGCAGAACGACACACAGGCAGAGGCACCATGGTGGCCCCGGGGCGAGGTAATGAAAAATTCCTCATGTCACTGCCATGACTGGTTCATCAACAGGGTGGAGAGCACTGCTGCGACTGAAACGGAAAACACGAGAGTTTAAAAGCAAGAAACATAAAAAGTGGCCCAGTTTCACCCCTGGAGTTTAATCACATCTCCAGACCTCTACACCTGAGGACAGGCAGGACTTTCTTCTCCTTGAAGTATTGTGTAAGAAAAATCAGTACTTCTGCTGAAGCAAAAACACAGCAGATGTAACTGTTTTCTTCTTCTATGCCTTCTGCCCTGACATGTTTCCTGCAGCCATCTGTGTAGCTGTCAGGTTGACAGGTTTTTGGTTCATGTTGGGTTTGATGGCTTGTTAAATAGCTGCAGATTTTCATGCACCACACCCTGCAGTGGTTGAGATTACAGCTGTAGCATTCTGGGTATGTTTTCATTGTTTACTTTCCTTTAATTCCTTTAAACACACAGTTATATTCAACCACTGTAATCATAAATGTTGAACATTTAAGTGAGGATTAAAACATTAAAGACATCTGCACTAAGCATCGGCCATTTAGTCTAATCTCTGGTAATTGAAGCTATCTGAAAACCAGTTTAATTTATAGAATGTTCACCTAGAGCTCTATTTATGTTCTTTAAGAGGCAAACTTTGCCTCCAGTATATTTCATCTCTGATTATAGGTGCAGTTCAGCCAGTTTCTCCTGGAAGTACAAACATGTTTCTGCACCTCCCTTTTTGCTTTGGTAGTTGCAGGGCGATGGATCCCACTGTTTACTGCATCTACCCTTACTTTTCTCTACCTTCTTTAGTAAGAACATTTTGAGTAATTAAAAGCTCCACTTCTAATTTTCTACCAGAGGGGGGAGCTGGATCCGCACATTTGCTTGTTGGAGGCATTTATTTAGTTATAACCTCTGAAAAAAACACCAGGTGGTGCTATGCAGTGAGAATCTTACTGACTTTCTTTGCTGCTTTTTAAAACCTTTTTAGTAGAAATAAAAATGTATAAGACTGGAAATGTTTATGACTTTGCTTAAAAAGGTAGTTTGAGAGTAATTAACTTCATGCATGCAGCACACAGTCCCTTACATTACAACTATTGCAGTTTGTGTGTTTATTACTATTGCTTAGTTTATGAGAAATTAAAGCATATAGTTACACATTCTTACTGTTATTCTTACATATAAAGCCCTAAAATACCAGGCTCCATCTCATATCAGAGATCTGCTTGTTCCTTATGTTCCTAACAGCACATTTCACTTTTAATCTGCAGGTTTACTAGTGGTTACTAGAATTTCTAAAAGTAGAATTGGAGGTAGATCTGTAATTATCAGGCATCTTTCCTGTGAAACCAACTACCAGTTTTAGTCCATGAGACAGATACTGTATAAGTTTATCAAAACTTTCCTTTTTGATAAAGCTTATAGTTAAAGTGGCTACGGTTATCCTTAGCTATCTCTATATCTATGCTGCTATAGGCTTAGACTGCTGGAGGACATGGCCACAATCTGTCTCTATCTTACAATCCTATAATCTCTAATTGTGGGCTGCTGCCATAAACACATTTCATTATAGATGATAGGGTTAGCCCTGTTTTTCAGTTCTTAGTCCTGGTTTCTGTCCTAGACATAGCTTTAGGCTTACCTTTGGCTGTGACAAACTCTATGCACTGTCCCTCATCCTTTTTGACATGGTCACTAACTCAGAGCTCGTCTGTTTATATTTCTTTCCTAGACAGAGCCACATGTGGGGCTAGTTTATTGTCTCCTTCATGGATCAGTGCTTCTATGTTCCTTTCTTAAGTCTGTTTCTGTCTCCTGTGCCTTTGGAGAAGGCCACTCACATTGATTCTGGTTCTACTGAAGGTTTTGTTCTGTTCCACTCAACGGTTGCTACAACCATGATCGTCCTGGGGGGCTAACGGGGAGTCAAAGACACAACACAAGTGAATATCTACTGTCTCTACATGTTTATTCAGTAAGAGTGAACCCTGCCAAGTCAATCACTGGCAGCAATCAGCGGGATTTCCTTAGAAAGAAAAGTTATAACCTGTTGGACTGCAGGATTGGATTGAATCGTCCATGTCAAGTGACACGAGATGATATTTCTTCTTAATTGGAGCTATATAAACTAAACTGAATTAAATTGACTTAAGACTGAATCCGGAGCATCTGTAAAAAGCATTTTTTAGTCTCAACCGCAGAATTTGAGTCAAATTTAGATTTAGGCTTTAACTCTGCTGTTCTAACTCATGTTCTAAAACATTTGATTGTGTCTCTGGCCCTAAACAGTCAATGTCCCACTGGAAGGTGGACCTTCATCCCAGTTTCAAGTCTTTTGCACACTCTAACATGTTTTCTTCTTAAATTTAGCTTTACCTGTCCTTGCAAAATTTCTGACTACTTTCTCCCTCCCTGTTGTGGAAATGGATCCCCACAGCATAACACTGCCACCCTCGTGAGCCAGGAAGGTTGAGTGTTCATCTAGTGTTAAAAAACAAAAATAAAATCCAGCAAAATCATTCAGATGCTAGCCTATGAGTAGTTTTTGGTCCATTAATGTCCAATTTAATCCCAGCTTAGGTGGAATCGACATGTTTATTAACATACTTTAAAGGGAAGTTGTTTGAGGTGTAAGCATTAAAAATATATTAAAACTTACTTAAAAATGAAACAAATTGTTTTTCTGCTGCTCTAAAATAAAGCCATTTTTTTTGTGTTGATATATCTCATAAAATCCCAATAAACTGCTCTGGTTATAAGGTGAAATAATTCATCCCCTTTGTGTTTGCATGAGAAAGCTTTAGCTCAAAAGAGGAACCCAGTTACCCTACAGAACTCCCTAATATCAGCACAAGACAAAGAGTTGTGCTCTGTGTCAGCATCCCAGATATACGGTAAACCCTGCAGGGTGAGGATGGAACCATGACCCATGTTTCATCATGAGACGTGTGATTCCCTCCTAATCACCACATACAGCTCCATGTGCTCATTGTTTCATCTACAACTGATTGCTGTGTCTGAAATGTTGTTCTTTAAGACTTTTTAAGGAGTAACCAAAGGTCAGTGAAATAATTAATTAATATTTTTGTAAAAGATAAATTTGATATGAACCAACGTTTAATTCTGGCTGCTCCTGTTGTTGCAGAACTGCAGCATGCATGCGACCATGCAGGGCCCCCCATAAAGAGGAAGTTACCTAAATATCACATAAACTGTGAAAATACTGACACTGTTTTACTCAGTAATAGTAATCTGAAAGCACATCAGTGGGGGGATGGTTACACACACACTAAAATGAGATGTTTTTTTTTTTTTTTTTACCCTGAGACTTTTAGTCACTTCTACAACTTTGTGGGTAAGACTGGGCCTCCCGCTTCTTCCTGCGTTACTCTTCTACGCTTTATCACACAACTAATACACATGCTTTCTTATAACGGCTCTGAAACACAGAGGACACGTGGACGCAGATTTTGCCGCTCAGGCCGCTCCATGGTTACTGTTCCAGAGCATTGACATGAGGAATCGGAGATCATATTTGTCACACATAAGGACAACACCGAGCTGATGTGCAGATGGAAATTCTACACACTACATGATGTCTGTAATTAAAGACAGGATCTAATTTAATTCTGCAAATATGAAATATTGGAGAAATAAAAGAAGCAAACATGGAGTTTATCTACTCTATAAAACATGCATATATTTAAAGCTACCTACATGCATTGTCTGTTTTCCAGTGAATGTTGCAGAGAAATTAGATGGTTTATATTTATTTTTGCAGGTCAGGAGCTCAAAATGATGCAATCTCACTACAATTGCAGGAAGAAAAATCAACTCTGTAGATGCATTATTGTTAAGATTGTGCTTAAGTATTTAAACTCTATCAGAGATAAGAGGATTCTAGGTGTGTTTCCGATGCATTGGTACTGATGGCAGACTCACATGATTATTAACTGGAGTCCTCTAAGCATGCGTCATCATCCTAACCACACAGTTTCACTTTAATCTGGTCTAACTGTTAAACTTTTCTCTTCTTGAAGATGTATTTTAGCAGCAGCCTAACTTCTTGCCCTTCAGTTATGTTAAACAGTGTTAACCTATGACAGTGAAAGGGGTGATCTACGGGTTTCCACATCCAGATGTCCCTCTGATGGAGAAAGTGTAGTCAGCTGTTTAAGTTTTGTTTTGTTTTTTATTTATTTGAAACATTAAAAAGAAGCTTTTTATTTTTTTTGATTCACTTCAAGATCTACCATCTGATGGGGTGTTTTTTTTTTTTCTCACAGAACGTATTGTGATCTCAGCACTGATGCCTGGTCTGATTACTCATTTCACACTCCTGCTTAGCTCCGCCCAGTTCTCATTACCCGGTGATCTGATCCACCAGCATTAGTCTCTATTTAACCAGCCTTCAGACCAGTTATCAGTGCCAAATTATTTTGAGCCGTGGGTGAGAATTATTCTAGCGTTCCTGTGTTCTGCCTCTTAATCTCTGAGCCTGCCTGTTCCCGTCTGATCTGTTTGCTTGACCTGTCTTCTGACTCCTGCCTGCTTGTGTACTGACTGAAACCATTTCCCGAACACTGAGTCTGCCTACCCTTGTCCAGCCTGTTAGCCCCACTGTGTATGGTACCTGGAACTTTTACCTGACTCTGTCTTGGATTCTTCGGTGCCTCACCGGATCTCTGACCTCCTGGCTCTGACAACCCACCACGTCACCGACTTTGGCTTTTGGCTTCACCGTCTGGATCATTCTGACTTCATCCATCTGCCTGGTTGTGATCCCCTGCCTGTCCTCCGACCTCCGATTCGTCAGCGTCTGGGACTCTCTGGACTCAGACTGAACTATAAGACCGGGTTAGTGACTCACTTCCGGAAGGACGTGGTCACTAACCTGCTGTCTCTACTCGCAGAGGTCCAACCTTCTGTTTTCAATAAATGCCCTGAGAAATCTGTTTGTTCACCTCTAATCTTCCAGTTCTGAGCCTTGACAAAACCAAGCTACATTTAACATATTTCTGCACATAAAACAAGCTGTTAGTGTTCCACAGTACAACAG